CCAATACCACCGAGGCCTGCAAGGTGGGGTCACGATGGTCTCCAAGCGCGCTATGCCAAAGCCAATAATAAATATGTGAAAGGCTACGATTCGAGTAAACCAACCAATTTATCTCGACGCCAATAATTTGTACGGCTGGGCTGAGTCAACCTTTGCCTACGGGTGGGTTCAAGTGGATTGATAGCGACCATTTTAAAACGAAGAACGTTATGGCTATCCCCGAAAGCTTTGAGACTAGATACATATTCTAAGTGGACTTGAAATATCCTGTGGAACTCCACGCTGCCCACAACAGTTATCTGCTGGCCCATGAATGGTCGATAGAGACTGGATGTCGAACTATCAGCTAGAATTGTTGGGAACGACTAAACAAACTAAGGTGGAAAAACTCGTACCCAACTTGTTGGATAAAACCAAGTATGTCATGCATTATAGAAATCTACAACTGTATCTGTCATTGGGGATGAAGCTGAAAAAAATACACCGAGTTCTAAAATTTGATCAAAGCCCCTGGATGGAGCCTTACAGTAGATTGAACACTGATCTGAGAAAAAAAGCATCCAGTGATTTTGAGAAAACATTGTATAAGCTCATGAATAACTCCGTGTTTGGAAGAATTGAAGGAAACGTATCAATGTGAAATTAGTCAGATCCAATGAAGAAGAAAAACAAGAAGCAAGCTATTTGATAATGACTTGGCATCTCTACATTTGAACAAAAGTCACATCAAACTCAATCGACCAGTCTATGTCGGGATGTGTGTTCTCAACCTATCCAAACATTGGATGTCCAATTTCTACTACAACGAGTTAAAAAAGCAATATGGTAATCGAAGCCAGGTGTTGTACGACACCAACTCGTTGCTCTTATAAATTCTTACCGAAGACATGTACGAGGACATGGCAGAAAACATAGATTTGTACGATACGAACGATTATCCACCAGATCACGCTTTACACAATACGATCAATAAAAAGGTCCTAGGAAAAATGAAGGACGAATGTGCGGGCACGCCGATCGCTGAGTACATTGGATTGAGACCCAAGATGTATTCCATCCTGAAACCAACAAACGCTGAAGTCCGAGAGGCTAAGGGTGTGAAAAAATACATGGTTAAACAGCAAATCAAACACACCCTCTTCAAACAGGCTCTCTTCGATAAACGCACGTTCAAACACCAAATGAATGCGCTCAGAAGTCTACGGAATCACCCTGAATAAAACTTCCTTGTCACCCATGGATACGAAACGATGGATTGCTCGTAATGGTGTCACGACTTACGAGTACAGGCACAGTTGTATTGAACAGAAAATATTGTGAACTACATAAATCATGAAGATTTACTACAAACCTCGGGGATACTGGAAAGGTACGGGCGCTATCCACAAGTTCACCGAAGCCGCAAAAGTCTTTAAGGATACCTCTAAAGCTTGGTTGGAGAAACAAGCCCTATGGCAAATCTACTTTCCAGCTCCCTGATAACTCCTGAGAACAAAGTTTGATGTCTATACGCCCAATCGAGTCCATCAAGCTAACCTCTTGTTTCTCCCGCACCAAAGGGTGAGACGCAAAACGTACAAGTATGCTCTGACCATCGTGGATGTTGCCAGTCACTACAAAGAGGCCGAGCAACTCACCGGGAAAGATTCAAGTCAAGTAGCTAAGGCATTGGAACGTATCTACAAACGAAGCCCTTTGATGTGGCCTACCGAATTACAAGTTGATCCCGGACGCGAGTTCATGGGCTCCGTGTCACAGCTGTTATCGAAACACGAGGTTGAAGTCAGGTGCGGGACGGTGGGAGCCCATCACAGCCAAGCCATCGTTGAGAGATTTTACCACACCTTAGCCGAGCGTTTGTTCGGACACCAGTACGCACATGAGATGGTGAAGCCCAAAAGCAGAATGGGTGACCTGTTAACCTCGAGTGGTGTCCGCGATCAATAATGAAGTGACGTGACTCATCGACCAAATACTTTCGAGGCCATTAAAATGAAATCCGTGATAGCTGAATCAGCCGCACCACCGTCCAAGCATAAAAAAACGAGAAAAAACTATCAGGTCGGATCAGCGTGAGGTATTTGTACCAACCCGGTGAACTCAAGGGAGGGGATCGATGTCGTGCCACACACCCCGTATGGTCTGTCAAAACGTACCACATCGATCGGGTGGACATCAAAGAAGATGAACCCCATTTGTATTACTTGAACCAGGTAGGGGATTCGTGTGAGAGGAATTGCTCGTCGTACCCCATGATACGATATTACCCCCTTATTAAAGATTCGTATATTTTTATTTATCATCATGTGGAGATTGATAGAGAAATGGTTGTTCAGGTGCATCGGGTTGGACATCGATGGACTCGATATTTACTCAGCCCTAGGTCGAGTGATTCGTCGAGGGCAATTCACGACCCAGTACGATAGTTTAGGTATGGGGGGTACCGAACGGTTACAAGGTGTCAAGGATACTTTAGTTGATTATAGCCTTGAGACCAGAGAACGCACCGCCCCGTACTCAACCTACTCCTTAGCCGACTTCGATGAGTTTATGGCAGACCCCATCCATGACATTGTTGCTCAATATTATGGCTACATTTAAAACAAGGACACATCCAACGATGGTCCGCCATCAAACACACCAGTTTTTCACCATCGATGGGGGATGATTCAGACATAAATAACACTGTACTAATACTATTACATTTCCTTGCTGGTTCCTGTCATGTAGTCGGTGAAATGTTCAACATTTCGACCATCAGGGGCGTGTTCTAAAGTCTGCCACCAAACATCGCTCACTACATCAACAGGCACTGGTGTTTGTATATTTTATATTTTTACCACTGCCTTTTAAATTGCAATGTACATTCACGTGACACAAAAATAAACTATTTTGTCTGTCTGTCTTAAGGTGGACTGGTTCTAGACAATGGGCAGTCAATGTTTTTTGACGGTATGGTATAATTTGTGCATTCATTGGGACAGTAATTTCTATTATCTTTGTAAAATTTAACAGGCAAATTTAAAATCATCTCTGCTCTGCGCACATAACTTAAGTTCAATTTTCTGACCACTATTTAACTAATGACATCACATTTATCAACTTATGTATGGTTCCACAATCCACTATCCCATAGGCCGCCATGCTAAAGGAGTTCAGGGCACTGTACACATGTTGATTAACTTGTGTCCATTCGATAAGTAAGCAACAGAAAATTAAACAGAAATTATATGATTGTAGGTAAGATGATTCCTCACAAATGTGCAAAATATGACTTGGATCTTACGAAAATTAAATTCCTGAAAATTATTTATGCTACACTAAATTAACATGTAAGTCAATGGAAATTATGTCAAGTGTCCGAATACTTTTTGCACGACTGTAGTTTGTAACTTATGGGCACCCTTGCAAATCCTTAGACATGACAGAGCTGTCAATCAAACAACTTAAAACTGAAAACAGTTCCTAGACTGAACCAATGACTGCCCAAAATGTCTGCATATACATTTAACAAATATATGTATTTTTATCACATAACATAAAAGTAAATACCAGGCTAGCTATTCTCAAAACGTTCGTAGCCCTACGAACTTCTTAAGCCCATTCTTAACACATTGGCTACGATCAAAGTTAAGAATTCTTAGGGCTACAAACGTTTCGAGAATAAGGGCCCTTGTTCTAGTAAATTATTCAGTTGAGTTCTATCTGGGTGAGGTACCTAATTATCAAAACACAAAGTCAGCAATTCCAAAACATTCGAAGTTATTCAAACATTATTGGCAATGTTTTAGAATGATCATTGGCGATTGGATGAAAAAAGAGAAACTCATTTGAAAGACTATAGTAAATATGTGCCATTCAGATTTCAAAACATACAGTAAATACATAATACCATGGTTTTATAAAAAGTGGTGAGATTTCCAATATATCTAATTTTACTTTGCTTTGCTTGAAAGAGCAATGGATGATGATCACACAATAAGACATTTGCCGCTTAATCTAAAACTCTGAAGGGTAGTTGTATATATATTTATTTTGATAGGACTTTGTAAAGAGAAAGTACAAAATCTTCAGTTGGGGGTTGAGGATTTGGGTTGGATGGGGCACATGACTTGTTTTGGGATGTTGGAGCACTTAAATAAATGATATAAATGGTATGCAACATTTAGAGGGAGGGTCATTAAGAGCAAAATCCTTACCAACCCCTAAAGCAGTAATTTATGAATATTGCTCTTGATGAAGTGTAAGGCAGTATGTGTTTTCTAAAACTGGCAGTGATACAAACAAATCCTTACATATCTAACAAAAGGAGCTGGAACAATTAGACTTTCATGTTATAAGTTCTAGAAATGTAAGCATGTGTTTTCCAAAACCAGAAGTGAATATACCGAATTAGAAATGATAATTTTTATAAACCAACTGAGCTAGAACCATTAGGATTCCTGTATGTCAAGCTGGATAATCCCATGAACAGAAGTATTGCTTGAAGCACGGTATTGCTGTTTGCATTTAGTTTCGTAATTGTATATGTTTACTAATATGACATGAAAAGGCAAAGGAATTATTTAGCAGAAGTGTGGTTGAACATTTTCCCCACCTGCAGGTATTTAGGACTTCTTTGCTTATTTAAGGTCTATTTCATGTATATGATCTCTTGGCTCAATGAGAAATAATTTGATGGTATTACAGTTCAATGTTATTAATATTATTATAGTGACAAAGGTTCTCCAATTGCTCTTCAATTTGTTCTATGTTGATTTTACAGAGTCACATCAAACACATGAAACATAGCTAAACATTGACATAAACTTCTAGTTGCACCTATGTCATAGGTACGCATTTTGTTAGTGTTGTCCAGTGTATACATCTTTTAAAAGTAAAGTTTGTGGAATTATATTTGTTGGCAAAAAAACCAACAACATTATTAAGGTTTAACTCTCTTGTTTTCAGTGTACAGTCCTAAAACATGTGAAAAAAACAATAATTGTTCTTTGTTTCAGATGATAGAAGTGAATCTCTAGAGAGTGATGACAGCAGATCAGAACTTGCCAACTATCTGAGTCCACCAAAATGTAAATTGGCACCAATTGCATCATGTGAAACACTGTGTGATTCTGATGTTGTGGATGTGCCTGCAATAACTACAGATGACTCATCTTCCTCAGGTATTTTGCTATCCGATTATGAAATTGGAGAATCCACGCCAGATACTTGTGATAGTAGTGACAGTGAGGGCAAACTTGCCCCACCAGCCAAAGTTTGTGGAATGGTGCTTACAGACAATTTGATTGCTGCCCCTATTACTAGCCCTAATACAGTCAGCTCTGCAGCAAGTTCTGATACTTTAACCCCAGGAACACCAAGAGTCAGCCCAATACCATCTTTGTGTGGGAGTCCTAAAAAGGCTACACTTGTGTACAGTATTAATGACACTCAGAGTAGTCCAAAGAGGCGGGTGTCAAGTCCATGCAAGGTGACTGACTCATCATTCAATCTTGATGCTCTTACTCTGTCCCCATGCAGTAGCCCTGTCCGACGTCCAGCTTCCTCCTCGCCAGTCCGTATACCTTCACCATTAGATTGTATCAAATATGGAAAAAGTCATTCTCAAGGTCCTTCACCTAGCCTGTCACCATCAGCGAGTCCAAAGTTGAGAAGGGCACCATCACCTATTAGCTACAGTAACTCTTCACCAAATATCATCGCACCTCAAACTAAGATTCGACCATGTGAGTAATGTTGTTTTGAAGTAACATGATGTAACTTGTAACTTTTGAGTTTTGTCTTTTTTGCTCATCTCATCAGAGTGAGTGGCAAGCACTTCTAAACACATGGGTGAACTCTGATTATTTTAATTCTGCAAGATATGACTGAATGCATGTATGTTAGTTATCTTGTTTTACAAATCATGTAGATGGATTGTTCAAATTCAGTGTTGAAGTTGTTTTCTCATAATTTGATCCAGACCATAGGATCGCTGATCACCTTCATATTGATTGATTTTCACACACTATCTCAACTCTTTATGCAGAAGTGATAAAAATACTACATTTGTTCCTAAATCAATATAAGGTCAGTCTAGTTTAAGATCCTATGACTTATGACCCTGGTAATATTTATAGATTTCACAAACTATGGAACTGTTAAAAATTGCAGTTTGATTGAAATCTATCAGTATTTGACAAATCTTCATATGACATGCTTGCAAATTGAATTTGCTTCAAATTTCCTGAAATTCTTGTTGTCTTTAATTATACTGGTTTTATTATATTTAATTGATAAGCAGTCCTGTGAATTGGGGATGCATTAAGGTTTTGTCTGTTTTTGACTGCCACTGTCTATGAAACCATCTGATGGATGGACCTTCACAGCAGTGAAATGATTTTAGCACAGTCCTGTGCTGAGTTGTTTTTTTAGGAAATAGCCTGAAGAAAACTTTGTTTAAAGGACAGCATAGCAAATTTTAATACTAAGTCTTTTCTGCATACTAATCATGAATTTCTGAACAAAAGTATGTTTGAAAAAGAGAAATAGTGTGAAATGGGTGATAAAAATTGAGAGGTGAAATCATCCCCCCAAACAGGTGGCCTATTTAGGTCTTCTTACTTGTCCAGCAAAAATGATTGATGGTTATACACTCATAGCTAAGACAAGAGGGGATTAAAGAAGGCCATTTCACATGTGACAAAACTAATTTGTGACTGATTTGTAGTTTGTACTGAAGAGGGGTCAGCTCTTGTCTTTTTGCCAGATACAGGTCCATTACCAGGCATCAAACTATCAGAATTAAGACCCCCAATTAGGATACCAGCCATTAACACCAAAGATGTCATGCAAATGAGCAGTGGGTTGATGCCAAGAAAATTAAGTATCAAAACCTCTCCCAATGCCCTAAAGTGGGAGAAGAAACAATATTATAGACACTGCTTGAAGCCAAATGCCGAAATTAACTTAGGCACAGTAATCACGTGATCTGGGAACACACAGGTGATGTGAATGGAGGACAAGGATAATTCCGGTGTAACAGGCCAAACTTTCCTTGGGGAAACTTTGGCCAAGGACAAACTTTCCCCTTGGCTTAATCTTCCCCGGGGAATATTTGTCCAAGGCCAAAGTTTAGCCACCCTTGAATCAACTTTAAAGGCTACTTTTTTCCCCACCATTGTTCTTATATCAAAAGGGAGAGATTCTGGTCTCGCTAGGCTATTTCTTCCCCAACCTTGTTTTCATGTTTATGTTCATCTTGAAAAGAAATGAAAACAAGACATAGCTATTCATGTGAACACATTGATGAGATATTCATGTTGATGTCAAGTTCCATTAAAGATCACATATACTCTAGGGGGGTAGAAATACATAAATCACTAACTGGCATCGCTATAAATGAAACCCCGTCATTAAAACTACTCACTTCGGTCTTTAATTAACTTAAATCGACCTTTTTGTCAACAGTGCACAATTCTCACCCGCGATTGAAATTTCAACCAATCAGAGCGAGGCGTCGCTGTGACGTCATATGAGGAATAGATATGAGGGCCGATGCAGAATTTATCTACATTTCAGGGGGAAAATTATCTTGTGTACAGGTTTGTATAAACCTGAAATCGTGACAACTGTTGTGGAAAATGAAAGCTATATGTTCTCACAATCTACTGTCATTTAATTTTGTCTCCTGTTTTGCCTAGTTTGCCGAGTTACAACTTGTTTTCATAGACGATTCTGTCAAAATCGCTTGGTGTCATTAGGCCTTATTTGTGTAATGACTGATCCTAATTGATCCCATTTCTGTGTTTTTTTACCTCGATATTTAATCATGTCATGTAAAAATCTGTTTGTATTCTCAAAACAGTGTCGGCCCATAACTTTTCACATGCAATACAGCAACTAATACTCCCTTGTTGTAACCCGTGTTAGGTGGTATAAACCTACACATGTTATTTGTCATCATTCACTTGATGGTCAGTTAATGAATTTATAACAGGTATAATTAGTGGTAACACCACTTAGATTACCCGACAAAGGTTCCCATTTGGCATTTCTTGTGTCTGGAGTTAATATTCAACATTATAAACATCGATCAAAGGATTAACTGATAACACGCTGATTGATTAATTACTTTTATCTTACACAGCAGATTTGTCAAAAGGTAGTGTTTATGTATGTAGATTAACTAATCTATACTGAATACACTCTGTCGTGTCGGTGTCAGCGTAAAAACAACGTCCTTCTTTCAAAGGATTAACCGGCAATACATTGATTGATTGCTCATTATTGGCTAACTAAATTACTGTTTTTAAAGAAAGGCGGACATTATGCAATTAGTTGCCAGGTGTGATATCTTGGGTGACCAATGACACTATACACCTATGTGAAATACCTGAAAAGATTTATCACTTTTTCGTATATTAAACTGTTAAAAGACACACCACTTGGAACAGCTGCAGATGAATGGCATATCACTCGTTTTTGTGGATATTGATGGATACATTCCTCGAACAAGGTAATAGCCTGACATTGTTTCTATAACTTTAATCTGTTTTAATTTTAATATTTGCATTTTGTTTTTATTCATCTGTCTTAGCATTCAACAGAATCATTGTTTTCGCCGTGAAGTGTAATGAGACAGACAACATACACTAGGGTGTGTGTGCGAATTATGATTCACATTGGCAAACTATAAAATGTCTAGATATTACAGTTCTGTTATAAATTCACTATAAGTATCAGCAGATCGTCTGCTTTTTATTTAGTTTCAAAATGCATACAAGTATGACAATAAACTAATAAGGATTATAAGACCAAATATAAAGACTTACATTGACTAGTATCTACATACTGGTGAGTGGACATTAACCATGTGAATGTAGCAAGAAATTTATGGCGCAGTATTGTGACTTCGACCCCCACCTCGCTTCCGTGGAAGAAATCGTTATGTTATAAGTTGTGTCATGCAAAATCCTTTTGGTTATGATTCCAATACATATTTAACTACGAGTAGAAAGTAGTTTTGATTTTCTAACTTGATGAAAACAAACCATAATCTCATTAATTCTCACAGACTTTAGCCCGTCACTTTACGATTTTAAAAAATGGCGGCGCCCTGACGTGAACATCCGCCAGTCTGAGGATAAATGCTATTTAGGTTTGTTTTCACTGAGTTACAAAATCAAAACTACTTTCTACTGGTAGTAAAATATGTATTTGATTGATGGCCAATAGGATTTTGCATGACATATCTTATAACATAACGATTTCTTCCACGGAAGCAAGGTGGGGGTCAATATAATACTACTTACAATATTATTGTTACTTCGACCACAACCTCACTTCCGAGGAAGAAATCGTTATGTTACAAGTTGTGTCGTGGAAAATCTTTATGGTCATCAATCATATACATATTTTACTGCAACTAGTAAGTGGTTTTGATTCTTTAACTTCCGTGAAGCGATCTGAACACAAGTAAGATATAGTTTCAGCCTTCCACAACGCTCGCTTCGCACTCACAAACATAACCCATTTAGTACGAACTGCGGGGTCCTGTAGAAATCTGTGCATGGTGACACCATCGCCCGACCCCTAGGAGCAATTGACGACAAAGCAACGATTCGGCATGTCGTCGTTGATGTCGAGAAATCATCAAAATGATGAGCGTGCTACACACTTTCTATACAACTAACTGAAAATCGTTCCTCATATGACGTCACTGCAGTGCTCTGGCGACAATGTTACGTAACCTGTCTGTGGTTTTGTTGGTGGGCGAGAGTGAAGCAGGTGACTTTTTGGCAACTTTTAATCGCTCGGTATTAATTAACCACAAGTTTTTTAAGAATGAATTTGGTATTTCCGCATAAGTCTAACCACAAATCTTTCATATGTAATAGTTAAAAGAGTGCAAAAACACAAAGTTTATTTGTTCTTTAACAATTTACAGGTCACATACATATCAAATGCTGTATCATCTATCATTCCACTACAGTGTCTTATTCTAAATTCAAAAGACAAGGTTTGATAGGGGGTATACTTGGCCCTTGGATATCTGAAACATATTTCATTCATATTACCAGTTTTTGATTATTGCAGTCATATATGGGATAATTGTACCAAACAGCAAGCAGATATACTTGAAAAGCTCAATCTTGATGCTCTAAGAACCGTGTGTGGTGCTGTTCGTGATACTAGCCATCATAAAATATACAAAGAAACTAATTGTCACCCGTTGTGTCGTAGACAGTACCTTCATAAAATGACTATGTTTTACAAAATGGTTAATAACACTACGCCAAGTTACCTTAGTAACCTTGTTCCGCCTAGAGTATCATATATCTTGGTTATAATCTGCGCGGTGATTCAAATCTTCAAACTATAAACTGTAAATCTGTAAATTATGCGAGGTCCTTTCTTCCAGATACTGTTAAATTATGGAATTCATTACCAGCTGAACATAGAGAATCACCGTGCCTATCAAGATTAAAAAAATGTACTTTTTAATGATTCTAATATCTACAGTAATTTTGACTTACATTTCGGTAGTAGATTTTGTCAAATCATACATTCTCGTCTCCGACTTGAATGTAGTGACCTTAATGCACAGAAATATGAAAGATTTATATCTCCAACATCATCTTGCTCTTGTGGCCACAACTATGAAGACTCTGCTCATTATTTCTTCTCTTGTAACTCTTTACAACGATATACGTCAAATTATGTATTTTTATACTAAAGCATTTGA